GGAGCGCGTGCGCCCGTCGGCCGCCCGCCGTTCCCGCGGCTGGAAGGCGGCCGTGGGGGAAGCGCGGGCGCGCGGGGAGCCGGGGCGCCGCACGGCGAGCGGCCCGCAGGGAAGCCGGAAAGCCGTCGGCTGGCTGAGGCAAGCCGGGCGGGACGCGCACGGCGCACCGCCTTCCGTTGCTCCCCGGGAAGTTCTTCCCCGCTTCCTCCTCCTCCTCCTCCTCCTCCTCCGCGTTGTCCATGTGGCTCCCCCTGCCAAGAGCCTTGGGGCGCAACGACCCGCACGCTGCGGCCGCTCGGCTCCGTTTCCAGGCGCAGGAAAGCATCTTTTCAGCAGGGCCTTCCTGAGGCAGCTGCCCCGGTTGGAGAAGAAATACGAAACGCCTTACTCTGAAGGAAGGGCATTTCTTAAGACAGGCGGCAGAGAGAATGGCCTTGCTCGGCACAGTGGTGTTGGTGCAGGTGTCGGTGTACTTTGGATAGTTTGTCCTTCAGCAAGTCTTGGAAAGAAGGCATGTGAGAACACTGAAATAATATTACCAGCTGAGGGCGGAATACAGAAGAAAGAGGCAAGAGCTGGAAAGGAGAACATTAAAGCCACTCCCGTGCCAGGGCCTCCAGGCACACGCAAAAGTGACTTGCTGGTACGTACAGCATCACTTCTCTTCAGTCACCCCGACACAGGAGCTTTGGAATTGGCCCTTCAGGCAAGTATAGAAACAGAGAACAGAGCGAGCCAGAAGGGGCCTCCCGGGCCATCTAGTCTGACCCCCGGCTCCAGCCAGCTCCGCTCACGACATGCCCACCATGTGGACGTCCAGCCTATCCTTGAACACCCGCACCGATGGGGCCTCAAGGGTATATAAGGGATTACCTAAGCGATAGCTTTGGGGGCAATCCTCTGCCTATATAGATGGAAAGGAGTTCTCCAATTCCCAAACTTCCCCATCTGAATAGGGATGGAATCACCTCTTTCCAAAACGAGAACTGTTTAACTGCCTTTGCCTCTTTTGTGTAACATAAACGCTACAAGCATAGCATTAATGGCAAAGGTCTGCTCTGGTGCATTCTCTGTACGAAGGACCATGCAACTGGGTAACACGTAATGGGCTACAAGGAGCATGGAACGGCAGTCGGAGTAAAACTGTTGCTTTTAAACAAGTACTTTGCAATCAACGAACAGACCACATTTATTTATTTATGAAAGCATTTATATACTGTTTGATCAGCATAATGCTCTTAATACAATGTAATTGAAATACTGTATACGAAACCCAACAACTTAAACCAGATTCACCTGCAATAAAAACATCTCTGTCCCATAACATTTCTGCAGACCTACGCAACAGCGACAATAAACATGTAGCCGTCATGAGGTGTCCCTGGTCCCAAACCCGCCGCATATGGCAAAGGCGGGCATTCCTTCAGGGGCTGCTTCCTTTGGCCCCGCACATGGAGGATCTCGCCACTGCACCTGCCTTTCCGTGCATGAAATCCTTGGCTGGCTTTCATGAATTAATTGGCTCTCTCTGCAGGACGCTCTGCACGCAACGAAATGCTGCTGTGCTCTTGGGCCCCCCGTTGCCTTGATCTGACGGGACTCTAAATTTGACCCAAGGGACTCGCGTTTTCCTGGCTTCGCTTTTCAACCCTTTTAACCAGAGCCGCTCTTTTTTCCTTCTCCTGCTCCTGCCACAAAGCTTAGCCAGTCAAATGTTTCCGATTCAAGGACCAGCAAAGCTGTACTGCTAATATTTCTGTGCATTGAGTGACTTGTGGGCAAAAAGTGCTTTGTCAGAAAAGCCTGAGTGGAAGAGCCGAGCTGCCTGGAGTCTCCCCTCTGCCTGCTTTTTGTGCTCCTCAGTGGCCCTACGGGAGCAGCAGGGTGGGATACAGGCCTAGGGTGGCTTTGCAGGGGTTTTGGTGGCCGGATGTGCCTGCAGGGGTTTTGCTTATGCCACTGAGGAAACCGGCTGGTTCTGGACTCGGGTGAGCCCTTGTTCAGGCTGGGCCTGTGGAAGTCCTTGGGCAGACTTCCGAGAGGGAACGCGAAGCACTGTGAGCGCTCCTTGTGGGTAAATACTGTGGAGGATCTGTGCAGCCTGCGTGGAGGACAAAGGGGCTGGATTTGAGGTGAAAAAGAGCATTTCAGGCAAAGAGAAGCAACAGGCTCCCCTTAGCAGGAGGAGGGCTGGTAAATCCACTCATGCCAGGCTGAACATTTGCTTGGTTGATTTGATGCCTGTGTGCTCATGGATAATCTCACTCAGATAATCCACCCTGGGAGATTAG